AGCTTCCTGCTCCCCTTACAACTGCCCCTGTCTGACACACACACCCCCCACCACACCCCACACCCCACACCCCCGCCTCCCGTTCCCTCACCTTCTCCTCACCTTCCCTGCACCGGGAGGGCCTTGCTCAGGAGACACTGTGGGCCCTGCCAGCACCCTCCAGGCCAGCCACATTAGCAGCTCCCACGGGAGAGTGCTAGAAGAGCAGCCCCGCCCTGCCCTGGGCTGCCCGGCAGAGGCTCAGGGTGGGTCAGGGCTGGTGTCTCAGACATGACGTGATGGCCTGCTCTGAGGGAGGGTGCCTTGACAGTGACGTGATCCTCACACTTGGCTGCCCACAGAAAGGTGGCCGTTCTGTCTGCCCCCAGGTCCCTCAGAAGAGAGGCCTGGCGATGGGCTGCCAGAGCCCCCCCGGGGGACACAGCTCTGCCCTGATACTCCTCGGGGCCCCAGGAGGCCCCGTAGTCTTCTCAAAAGGAGGCTGCTTGTTGTGAAGCTGCCCCACCTCCATGCCCAGGCTGCCAACAAGGGCAGGGCTCAGTGCAGCCCCGTCTGACAGAGCCGGAAGCCACAGCCTCTGTCTGCCTCATGCATCATTCCCACTTGTTCATTCGTCACTGCCTTTCCACAGCTCACAGGGAGGAAAGTAGCCGAGGCTCTTGGGGGCTGGGCTGCCGACCGTCTCTGTTGATGTCAGGTACAGTGGGGTCAGTCTCCACTCACTGAGGGCCATGCCCAGCAGAGCCACACACTGCCCGTGCTCTCAGTCACTGCCCTGTGCAGACCCTGTGTCCATCCGCCTGGTCCAGCAGCTTCCTCTTTTTCTTGGACTCTCTACTTTCCCCAGCACGACATCCTTCTCCAGGGCCTGGTCCCACCTGATAATATGTCCACAGTACGTGAGCCCATGTCTCACCATCCTCGATTCTAGGGGCCTTGTGGCTGCACTTCTTCCGACACAGATCTGTTTGTCTGCAAGGGGTCCAGCCGTGACAGGTGGTCTGTCGGTGGCCTGCTGCTCAGGGAGGACAATGAGGAGGTCTGTTTCCTCTGGGCCCCGGTCACCCTGAGTCAGAATCCACTCGACAGCTGTAGGGGGTTGTTTTCAGCTCTGTTGGAAGTCCTGGGGGTGCAGTGGTGAGGAACTCCACCGTTCATGGAGAAAGATCGCTGCTTCGACCCGACGGGAGAAAGATGGATGGGGCGGCTTTGGTAAAGACACATGCCTGGAACCCACTGGGGGGTCTCTTTCGTCCTGCGGGGCCTGAGTCAGAGTGGGCTCAGAGCAGGCTCAGAGGCAGTGGGCTCTCTCCACTTCCACGTGGGCTTGGTCTCTGTGAGCAGGGGCTCTTTGTATGTGCATGCGGACTTTTCGGCCAGTTGGCTTTTGCTTCTGGCCGCTGACCATATCTTCAGTTGCCTCTTCCCATGTGCCTCCCCTCCCCCAGCAGGAGCAGTCTGGACCCCTCAAACACTCCGACCCTCCCTTCAGCTTCTCCCTCTGCCACAGTCTGCTTGCTTGCCCAGGAAAGGGTCCCGGTCACCTTACTTCTCAGGGTCCCGGTGACTAGAAGGCGCTGTGGTGGCACAGCGGTGAAGCGCTCGGCCGCAGACCCAAAGGGCAGTGATTGCGACACTCTGGGCTTTGTGCCGGAGCAAGAGGAGGCCCTGGCTTCCTTGAAGATTGACACCCTCAGACACCCCCAGGGCAGCTCTGTAACTGCATGCTCCCGGGTCGCTGTGAGTCGCTGGCAGCCGCCAAGGTGATTCGCTAACCCGGCCTGCTTTTGCCTGGTACGAGCCCCCTGTTTTAAGGTCCATGGCCTAATGCCCTCAACCATGTGGGGTATCCAGTTTCCAGGCCCTTAGGCCTGGGACGTGGACCTCTCTGGTGCCTTCTGGCCAAGTCTGGAGTGTCAGGCCTGCCCATGCAGTGAGTGTGGTCACACGAGAGCCCACAACTTCCCCACGGGGCTTCACCAGCCCCACAGTCAGTTGTAGTGCGGAACACACTGGCTCAGGCTTTGATTCAGACTCAGGCTGCTCCCTAGCCCTGTGGAAGGCCAGCCCTGAGCAAGATGTGGGGCCACGAGGGTCCCAGAGGAAATGCAGGTGGAGCCTCCAGGCTCGGCAGTGCCTGGGGATGGGGGAGGCCGGTAAATACTTGCAGAAATATTGCTGGAAGCGTTTGTTTTAAAGCCACAAAGGTCATCACCAGAGTGGCCAGAGGGCGTAGACGGGCTGAGATGGAGGAGGAGGGGAGATGTTTTGCACTGGAAGCCCGCGGTGCCGGGCTCTTAGATCCAGGACATGACTCGGGGCTCGGCTTGTGTGTGGGATGGAATGAAAAGAAGCAAACCCAGAAACCTGCTCTGCCGCAGAGGGGGGCTTGCAGGAGGAGAGCCAGCCTAGGGTCTCCCTGTCCCTCTCACAGGGCAGATGGGCAGCACCCGGCCACCAGGGACAAGGCTGAGTACACGATGCCCGAGAGTCTCTAGGCCCAAAGACATGTGGTCCAGCACCACAGCCGTTCCCATAGCCACTCACCTGGGCTGTCCCCACCACCCGCTGAGAAGCCGCCCGGAGCCCTACACCCTCTGCCCGGGCAGCCTGCCCTGGAGGGTCTGTATCTGTTCACAGACGGTTAAACGTGGGAAAGGCAAGTGTGGCACAGGCGTGTGACGCAAGGCGTCCACATCGTGTGTGGTGTGAGATAGAAACAAGGAGTGGGGCCATTGGCGTCCCACCTCATGCTCAGTCATTCACGGAGGGTGTCCTTTCAACCCACGTAAACACCAGCACAGTGTGAGCCCCGGGATGGGGATGGGGGCTGCTGATCCCACGGTTGGAAGTTCAAACCCGTCAGCTACTCTGCAGGAGAAAGTTGAGGCTGTCTGCCCCCATAGAGACGGGTAGTCTCAGGAACCCCATCTGGGGTCGCTGTGCGGCAGAATCGGTGTGCTGCCCATAGGTTTGGGGGTTTGGCCCTTGAAGATGGAATTCGAGACAATGTGCTGGGAGCTTGGTGCCCTTGGGCCAGAGGAGGACCAGGTGCTGCACTTCACCTGATGGGGGCCCTTCCTCTCAGGGTCTCTGCAACTCCCACCAGGACCCTCCCTCCGTAGAGCTGGCTCTGACTCCTGGCGGCCCAGCGAGAGTTTCTGAGACTGTGCATCTTGGTGAGCGCAGACAGCTTTGTCTGTCTCCCACAGGTTTGAGCCATCGGCCTCCCGGTGAGCACCCAGCTTACCTGACAGCCACCAGGTTCCTTAATGACTGGGCAGCGTTATGCAAACAGGAGGTGTTTGGTTTGTGTGCCCACATGGGGACTAGATAGCTTGCTACTAACGGAAAGAGGGCACACGTCACTCTCCTGACGTAGGACCACTCAAAAGATATGGGGAATCCGAATGTGGGGATGGGGTTTATTTAATTGTGAGCCACCGGGAGGGGGAAAGGGGGATCCTAATGCCATCAAAACCAGAGGGGAAGGGAGACAGCGGTCGGCAAGAGACTTGCAAATAATTAACAATCTACAGGGCTACAAGGGTCGGGAGGTGGGGAGGAGGAAAGAAAAAGAGAGCTCATCCCGAGGGCTCAATGGAAAGTAAATATCTAGAAAAGAATGATGGACTATATGTATAAATATGTCAGATACAATTGATGAATGAATTGTAACAAGAATTGTAAGAGCCCCCAATAAAATGATTATTAAAAAGAAAGAAGAGCCGGGCTCGTGCTGCGCTACCCCTGCTTGATCCAGGAGATGGCGCTGTGGCAACAGCGATAGCACAGAAGTGGCAGGAAGAAGGTGGCTGCAGAGGCAGGGGCACCAGCACCAGGCAGGGCGCTTCCTGGCCGTGGCAGGAGAAGGCTGAGCGCCTGCTGTGTCACCTCCAGGCACCTAGCGGGGAGGGGCTGGGTTTCCTGACCGGGAGCATAGAGCTCAGCTCCTCTGGACCAGACTCACTGGTGGGGTGGGTGCTTCATCGCCAGAGCTGCACATGCCCTGGCAGACAGAGGCCGGGGGCCCGGGGCTGAGAGGCTGAGCACAGGAAGAGCCTTGTAACACAGGCCACCAGGCCTGCAGCAGGGCTGAGAGGAGGCTCTTCTGTGGAAGAACTGTATCCCGAACACCCCTGATCCTGAGTTGTAACCTGGTATTTCCTAGTGAACTCCACGATCCTGAGCACGGATGGAAGGCCTGCTGCCCAGCTGTGGCTCGATCTTTCCTTCCACTGCCCTAGAGCAGGAGTCCCTTGGACCTGTGTCGGGCTCTCCTTGCGGGGCCCTGAAGAGGGAGCGGGCATTGCAGGAGCAGAAGCTCCCCTTGGTGGGGCATTTTGGGTATTTCCTGGGTGTTTGCATTTCAGGGATGTCTGAAAGGGAAGGCCAGTGCTCTCGGGGATAGGTCTGGCCTTCACATGGGGGAGTGGGCAGGGGGGCTTCATTCCCAGTCACTGCCCCTCTGTTCTTGGAGGCCGAGTAGCGGCACTGTGATGCTGAACAGATTTCCAGAATGGAATAAACCAGAAAGAAAGGCCTGGCGGTGGACTTCCAAAACCAGCCCCATGGGCCACAACAGAACAAACAGTGTCTGAGAGGGGGCTGGGAGGTGAACTGGAGCAGCTGACACCACCTGCCCCATCCTCACTCCCTGACCGCTGTGCTTTGTTTCGTCTGTGCTTTGTTTCATCTGCTGGGGGTGGGGGGGACGGTGCCGAGAATGAGCCCTGTGGCCACTAACAGCAGGGCGGCAGCAGAGCTCCAAACAGCCCCCGCCCCTGCCCACTGGAGCTAATCAAAGGGTTGGGGTTGGGTTACTGAGTGGGGCGGGCAGGTGAGGACCGTGCTGCCTCCATTGGCCCGTTTGCGCCAGAAGGGAAAGGCAGTCAGACACAGAGGAGGCCATGAGCCAGCGCAGAGGCTGGGGGTCGTGGGAGCCGCTGGTGGCCCTGGGACCCGCCTGACCTCCTCTTCTTTCTCTTGTTTCCTGCCAGGCCTTGCCAAGCCCATCGGCCTGGTGGAGGGGCCGGGCGGCCTGGGCCAGGGGGGCCTGGCTGCCACGCTGCGTGAGGACAGCCAGGAGGTGGAGGGCAAGTATGAGGAGTACGGCTACAATGCCCAGCTCAGTGACCGCATCTCCCTGGACAGGAGCATCCCTGACTACCGGCCCAAGAAGTGAGTGCACACTGGGCGGGGCTTCGGGGGCACTGACGGGACCACACGCATGGCAGCCTCTGCCTCTCTGTCCCACTCCCAGAGTGTGGGCATCTGCAGGGCAGGGTGAGGCATCCCTCTCTGAAAGGAGTCACTGGCAGGCTCTGGGGCACTGCCGGAAGGACCCCCATGAGGGACAGCCTCTGCTTCTCTGCCCCTGACTCCCCCTGAGTGTGGTCAGCTGCAGGGTGAGACGGTCCTTTCCGAGGAGAGCCGCTGGCAGGCTGCGGGAGAACCTGGCAGACGGAGGTTCTCGGTGTTGCACTAACCTGCCAACCCAGCCATGGGAGAGTCGTTGATGTTCCCCACGTGGTTTCCACCCGTTCTGCTGCGGGCATGGGCACCCACATCCTGCTGTGACCTGCCGTGGTGTCGGCTTGACTCTCAGTGACCCATGAACCACGGAACGCCGCCGTGCTGCGCCATCCTCACAATGGCTTTGCGGGGCCTGTCGTCCGCGGCAACCCCCCGGCAGCTTAACTTCTCTTTGCTGTCAGCTGCTTTGCCAAGCGTGAGGATGTCCTTCTTGGGGGACGGCCCCTTGATCACATGACTAGAGTCGGTGAGAGTCTCGTCATCCTTGCTTACAAACAGCCTGCTGGCCGCACGCTCACACGGATCTCCTCGTTCTTGGCAGCCGTGGCATATCCAACACTCTTCACCCACGTCAGTGCTCCTCTGGTCTTTCTTATTCCTGGCCCACCGTTCACGGGTGTATCAGGCGATTGAAAGCTCCCTGGCTCCCGTCAGGGGCACCTCTGTCCTCAAAGTGACATTGTTGCCCTCTAACACTTTAAAGAGGCTGTACAGCAGGTGTGCCCAGTGCACCCCATCGTTTGGTCTCTTGGCTGCTGCTCTCACGGGGCTTGGTGGCGGGTGTATGTTGAATGTAGTCTGGCAACCTCCGCGTTTTCTCTGTTTTCCCTGGTGGTGTTTGTTGGTGCAGCTGACAGGACTCTGGTTCATGTTAAGGTCTAATGCTCACTCCGGCTGCAGTCTTTTGATCGTGATCTGTAAGAGCTTCAAGTACTCTTCATCACCGTACCAAACCAAACTCACTGCCATCAGACAGTGACCCTATAGGACAGAGTAGAACTGAAAGCCTCATCTTTCTCCTGTGAAGCGGCTATTGGGTTTGAACAGCTGACCTTGAAGGTAGCAGCCCCACGCCCAACCCACAGCACTACCTGGCTCCTTCACTGAACATACTCAATGCCATCCAGTTGATTCCGGTTCATGGAAGGTGGTTAATCGGATGAGTGACCAATCTAGTCCCTTGCTGGGATTAGTCCCTTGTCGGGGACCTTGCCACCACTTTGGGCCAAATCCTGGTCTCTGAAGATCGGCTGAGACCTAAACCCATCCAGTCAGAGTGAGCCTTAGAACTGAGGCCACTTACACAGGGTGCGGCTACAGGGTTGGAGGCTGAGCCAGCTGCAGCCACCGCATCATTCAGCGGGCGAGCACTGAGCTCACAGGGTGCACCTGCGAAGCACCCACTGCAATCGTGGCAGCAGTGAGAGGCCAAGGGAGCTGAGCGGGGACACCTGGATCCAGCTCCTCTGGGCCTTGCAGTAAATTAGCCTCGTGTTGGTATCTATCATTATAGCGGTTGTTCGGTGCTGCCCAGTGAGTTGCCACTCACAGGGACTCGGCACAACAGAACCAAACACGACCCCTGCTGGATTTACAGTAAGAAAGTATGATTTTAAACAAAGAATAAAACACTGCCCAGCAGAATAAAACTGCTACCCTCACAGTTATGGCTCTGTTTTATATATATAATTTTTTAAAGAGAAATTGGAATCAGGTTTCCTGCTTCTTAAAGCTAAGTGAGTAGAAGCCTGTCTGACTCACCAGCTGCACCCAGCACAACCCCAGACCCGGCCGACTTCCAGGGCCTGACTAGGGATCTGCCTGTTCAGCCAGCAATCTGTGGAGGGGGTGCGGTTCCACCCCACTTTCAGAAACCTCTGTCTGCGACCTGTGGGTCACTCTCATGATATGACAGGGGACACCGGGGCAAGCCTTTTCTGTTTCCAAACTCTTGCTGTGAGTCAGGAGACGTTTTCAGAGCAGAGCAGTGTTCCACTCAGTAACTCAGACATGTTTAGTTTGTGCATCCATTGCAGCCCCCACAAGGGAGCATCATGAATCCCACTCCTTCCCTGGGCTTCCCGTGTCCCCTCACCCTCCTCGCCTGCCCCTTCCTGCCCTCTGAGCGGCTCCCTGGGCAACAGATGCCTTTGGATCTTGCATGGTCGCTTGTTCTAAGGAGTTCCTATCTTTCCGTGTTTCTGTTCCCCTTTTAGTAGTGTGCATTGTTTGGTTGAAAATTGAGCCACGGGGGTGAGTTCATCCCAAGCCTGAGGGTGACAAAGAGCCAATCGTCTCGGTTCTACTGGCCACTACCAGTTCAAAGGACCTGGTCATCCAGGGTTCCGCTGGCCGCTTGCAGACCACGGACCTGGTCATCTCATGGTTTTCCCGGGTGAGCTTTTAAGTAGGCAGCACTGCTGGGAAGAGTGCTTGATGGGGAGAGCCCAGAGCTGCACAGGCGCTCCACGACACAGCCACAGCTCTTTGCTCCTGGTTTCGCGAGTGTGGGTTTATTTAATGACTTACACACCATTCTTCCCTCAAAGGACCTGAGGTGGCTTCGGTCTCTCTCTCTCTCTCTCTCTCTCTCTCACACTCACACACACACACACACACACACACACACACACACACACTATGGAAAATAAGCTGGGATCAAAAGGAGGCCCTTTCCCTGTCTGTCCGTCATAAGGAGCCTGGGTAGCATGGTGGGTTACCAGTTGGGCTACTAACCACAATGTCAGCAGTTCAAAACCACCAGCTGTTCCTGGGGGTGGTGGGAGTGGAAGGCGAGCCCTTATGCTCCATAAAGGGTTGCAGTCTTGGAAACCCACAGGAGCAGCCCTGGGCTGTCCCATAAAGTCCCTGTGAGTTGGAATTGGCTCAATGGCAGCAAGTGAGTTTTCCTTCTTTCTCTCCTTCCGGTCTTCTCCTGGCTTGGCCCAGGATGGCATTCCTGCACCAGCGGAGTCGATCTGGGAACGTCCTACCTTTGAAGAATGGCCCTGTGTGTTTCCTTCAGAACACGGAGCCCAGGGCAGCACTGGGTCCTCATTATTCACGCAGACACAGCTTTCTGCAAAGGACTCAGGCTGGGAGCTCATGGCTCCTGAGCTGGGGGCAGAGGGCAGAGCAACAAGCAGGTTTCCATGGGCACCCCTCCCACACAATTCCTTACTTTAGGAAGTGTTGCAGAGTGCTCCCTACAGATCAGGTGCAGTTATTAGCTCACCTGAGCCTCACGACCAGCCTCTGAGGAAGGGACTGTCGACACCCCTGTCTTTCATCTTTCAGAGAGGACATGGGGGCAGGGAGGGTAAGTCTCTGGATTGAGGGCACACTGTGAGTGGGTGGCAGGGGTGGGATTTCAGCCAAGGCAGTCCAGAGAAACACAATCACAGGAGAGCGCTGGCACAGCTGTTCTGAAGGACAAGCTGCCGAAGAGGCAGCTTCTCCTGGGAGATGGGTTGGCGGTGGCGGTGGGGGTGGGGGACACTGGGAAGCTGCAGCCCAGCTCTCTCCTCTGATGTGGGCCAGACCTGCCCCACTTTCCCTCTCCTGTGAGCTTCTAGAACTAGCATCTCATTCTCCCTCTGTCACCGCCCCCTCTTCACACATGCCTTCCTCGCTCGGTGCCATGCTGAGGACGGGGCCCTTGCCTCCCGACAGCAGGAGCCATGCAAACCCTCTGGACGGGCCCACGTCACAGAAATGGGGTGCCAGGAGAAATGGCTAAGACAGAGAGACCCAGCCCCTGCAGGTCACAGGCGCCTGGGCGCCTCTGTGCTGTGTGGGCACCAGGTGTCCACGGTCCTTGGAGAGGACTTTGCATTGATCCCCATGACGGTGACCATCCTGCCCTAGTGGCTGAGGGGTGAGAACAAGCCCAGTCTGAAACCGCTTCAGCCAGAAGGGGAGTCGTTGGCTTGAGGAGCCGAAAAGTGGAAGTATGAGACAGTCAGTGTGGGTGTGTGGCTGTGAACACATGTGTGTGCATGTGAGCGTGACTGTGAGCACATGCGTGTGAGTGCATGTGTACACATGTGTGTCTGTGAGCTGGTGTGATGTGTACACGTGTGCCTGCAAGCACGTTTGTGCGCGCGTGCGCATACACATGTGAGCATATGCGCCTCACTGGTGGGCAGCCCCATCCCTTCCCCTGCAAGAGCCCCCCTTCCTATCAGATGCATTATTGATTTCCCTTTGTCTAGAAGTAGATAGCTTTTCTAATTAAGCAGTGGCTTTAATTATGCCACAAAGCACATAACATCGATCTTGATTATTAAGACTGGCCCATGGGATGAGAGAGTAAGACTGGCAAATCCAAATTAAACAGGATCATCAAAATGAATGACCTTCTCCCAGAAGTAGCCTACATCCTCACCAGTAATTTCCCCCAGTCATGCGTTCGCAGGGTCTTCGTGCATACTAATTGTTTGAGCTGCCAACAGCTCTAATGAGCGTGGATTTAGTGGACGGTGTGTGTGTGGGGGGAGGTGGGCAGGTACCCTGTGCCCAGTAATCCCCTCACCCATCCTGTGTAGGCAGGAGATGTGGGGGCAAGTGTCTCCATGAGGAGGGGGGCACAAGGTGGTCACCAGGCACACACACCCCATGCCACATGGCTTCTTCCATGGGACAGACCCCTTACTCTCTCTTGGTGGGGCGCAGGCCAGCCTGCAAAGCCACCTCCCACTGTTCTCCAGAGCGGATCCTTCCCCACCGTCCATCCCAGCACTGAGCCCTGGGAGGAGAAGCTTGAGAGTGGGAGTGGCCTCTGGTGAGTCCCCTCTGGGACTGGGCTATGGGCTGGTGGTCGAGCCCCCTGAGGCCTGGCTCACCCCAAAGCAGGCAGGTGAGTG